AAAAAACCTCCACCAAGAAATAATAGAAAACCCCTCCTCTATTCCGTGCCATCATACAAATTCAGAACAAAATTCAACTGTATCATCTCCACTTTGTTTTATATAACTCCAACACAAACACACCAATTCCAGCATTATCAAAGTAACATTACCACATTTACCAGTAATTCACAGGGCCACACCTTCAACTTGCATGAAGCTCCCATGCCAGCTGACAGAACTACAGACACACAATTTTGCTCTTGATTCATAATGTAAAAATGAGCCAATTTTGTCCATACTAATAAGAAATAGAAGGACATTCTAATACACAACCAGTTATCAAGTGTGACAACGTTCAGAGAAATTTTGGCATGAAAAGTTTGGTGCCATATGCAGTGCAGGTAGCTCAAAACAACAGCCCCCAAGCTTGCTGACTTTAAATCAGAATGTCAGAGAACACTGTGCAGATCTGTAACTTTTCTAGCATTAAATTCTTTAATGATAACTATCCTGAATCTCTTCTCTTGCCATATCTGATAGAAATTATTCCCAAACAGCTCAGGAACTCTTCTCAGCAAAAGATATAACCTGGATATTGTTGTTACAGCAATAACACTAGATCTAACACAGCAGCAAGAAACTACAATGGATTATTTTTGGAAATACCACTTATTGGCAAATACAATTTCTGACTATAAACTGAATGTCTAAGCCTGTTTTAAAAGAAGATTGCAGAGCTATTTTTCTAATCTGTTCTCCAAACAGAACAAAGTTTAGATGATCACACCATTAGTGAGCTAGTACCACCACTCCTTGACTTAAAGCCCCTGGATCTTTGTAGAGCCTCAGACAAATTGAAAAGAGCAGTACCTAGCAGATTGTGAATAAATCAGGCTGGGTGGACTGAAACCACCCCCTGCTGAAATTAGTCCTGGTATGGTAGAATGCTTAAGGCACATGCTCAGCAATTTCTTACTCTATTCTTTCTTGCAGCTGGCCAACAAGCAGATGAGCACCTGCCAGCTAATTAGCACACTTCTAGCTCGGTCATATTTTATGATATTTAAGAGTCTTAGGAGGAACCACAGGGCAACAAAATCCAATGAATGGAGAGGAGAGAACCTACAGATGACATTCCTCAGTAGCAGCCTTTACAGTGGGTTTCCAGTGCTCTGGCAGGTAGATAAGGGCATTTTGCTGGCAGCAACAATTTGATCTTTTTGGCAATTATCCTAGTTTTTGTACACAGCAATGGAATCTCAAGGAACAGAAGCTGTGACTCAAACCCAGAAAAATCAAATTCATAAATGCTACCACTCCACGAATGGAACCTTTTTTAAAATTTTCAATTAAAACTAAGTTAATGGATAGCTGCAAAAAGGGCTGATTTCACTCCTTCACTGCCCACCCCTCCAGCATATTCCTGCTGCTTCAATTTTGTAGGCACTAACGCTTTGGTATGCTAAACTGGCCAACTACTTGGACATTCCACAGTCTTGAGATTTAACTACAGAATATGGACATGTAAGTCCTTCTCCTTCACACAAACAAACTGTAATGGTAAGAACACATGAATTCCAAAGTAGTCATCATGATATTTAATGACTTAATCAGAGAGAAAATTGTTTCCCAAACTCGAGGCCAAGGAGCATTTGCTAGTTGAATGGCACAGAGCTTCATTTTTTCTAGCTGTTAAATCATATTAAAGAGACAGAAGTGCACAAACACTCCCCTAAGTTTATCTTCCCATGGGAGTTATCAGTGCAGCTACTACAGGGATCTCATGTGCAATCATCACATACCACAATAAAAGGAAAAGTTGGCAATTCATAGAACCAACCCTATTGAACCACATTAGGCACTGAAATTGAGTCTGGAAATAAGGAAAAAGGCTTTCAAAGATGAGCATGAATGGCAAAATAGTGATGCTCAGAGCAAAGAACAAGTACAAAAAACAAGCAATCATAGTAACCCACTTCATTCAGCCTCAGAAAGCAAGTAAAGGATTTCTACATTATCAGGCATGCTTAGGAGAAAGTTACTTGCACTCACAGAGTTCATTCCTCTAAAGAAAACTATTTTTTAACAAGCTGTTAAGTAATACTTACGGTAAAAGAAAGGGACAAATTCAACAGTGAGGGAAGCTGGTTTATACTTCTGTCTGCTCCTTTCAACTGTACTAAGGAAACGTCTGCAATAAAATTAAAAAACATGCACCAAATAAATTAGACATGATACCTTTGTTTATGACTAACTTATTAATTTATGACTTATAATATGAAGTTATAACATGACATAGTAGAAAATACTGCCATAAATCAGGTGTTATCTTTTGACTACAGGATGAAAAAGAATACTGAAGCAGTATTTCATCCTGAAAACATGAATCACAGCTAATCCCACATTCAGTCTGCACCTAAAAATACTTAACATTTTACAAGATGGTTTAGTTACAAAAATAAAATAAAAAAGCCAGCAATCTCTTATTTAGTCCATGCTTATTGTAACTAAGACATCTTCTATACTGCCAAATTTCTTGACCAAACAATTTTAAATGGGCACAAAACAATATTATGAGTTCATTAGGCTGGAGGGAACACACGATCAAATTAAAAAGATGTAATTCTATTGATACACTTATAAACCTATTTTCAAAGACGTAACTTATTTACACTGTGAACTTCAGTAACTTCTTTTGCCCTAATTCAACCAAGTTTCCCCACCACATTCCTTTTGGCTTCCTTGTTCCACTAGTTTAGAAAAATGGCCAGTTTTTGAAAGAAGGACTTAATGCAGTGATCAGTTACAACCAAACACCTCTTAGTATATCCTCAAATTTAATTTTAACTTTTATAGTAACAGTAAAAATTTTTTTTTAAAGTTATGTAAGTCATATCCAGTTTGAGAAACTATAACACATTTCTGTGGTGTGATTCTATTGATTCATGGTTAAAGTTCTCATAAACCACAGTATTTACAATCCTGTGCTAGTCCACACATACCCTGCTATTCGCTGCCTCCAGTTTCGATACGGATCGTACAGACTTTCACAGAAAGCCAATGCATGTCTCACAAATTCTTCTATAGGAGTCTGATCCTCCACTTCTTTTTCTTTTGTTTTGCTTTTTAACTGAGGAGAAAAAGAAAGCCACAGTCAGAAAACTTCCAGAAGCTGAAAATTAATTTCGACCTCCCCCAGAACAGTTCTGAACCTACGGACTGCTCCCCACACAACACTATTACTGAAAGAGCAGATAACATAAAAAGGAGCAGGAGGTATCAGATGGCAGAAATACAGACAAGAATTATTAACCACGTACCTGTTGAATGTACAACGTGGTCATGGTGATAACATGGTTAATGTATGAACACATCCCAATCTCTTCCACATTAGCCAAATTCCTGTGAAGACAACATAAAAACCACAGACTGTACACAGTGTACCATTTGAAGCTAGTTCAAACAATGTTTGTTTTAGCATTTTGTCTATATTCATACAGAAGGATACCAGCATTT